ATTAGTCATGGGGTGCGAATGATCTTGCTTATAGAGGTGATGTGGTCTAGTGGATAAGTCGGGGTCCGCGGTTCGAGTCCCGCCGCGGCACTAATGTCCTTTGGCAAGACATTAATCTGCATTGCCAATCTCCACCCATGTTTTAAATGGGTACCCGGTAGGAAAGAATTCCTTGAAGGCTGTGATATTGGAACGCCTTGAGCGCCTTGCATGGTTGATATGTGCGCTATATAAATATCCAATATTATTACTATTATTAGATGGTTTGTCATTATTATTATTATTATTATTTCCTCCTGTTTGCCTCTCAACACCTCTTCTCACAAACTGAATAATACACCCCAAACTACATAATCTACCCACATACTATAGTGTCTTCTCTTTTACACTTCCGTGTTTAAAATATGAAATTGTTCATACTTCATCAAAGCGACACACTATACAATCTCACCAAAGCTAGACGTCAGCTGATATTCTAACCTTCGTAGTATGACTCCTTAATAATGAAAACTTTGTCGGAAGAAGATTAATTCAACAATATCTACAACTAATTTGTGCTTCGGACGCAATCAAGATGACGCCGAGTTGCATATCGTCCAATTTCCAACATTTGCGCATCTGGCAGTGATAATGCACGCAAAGTTCAGACGAAGGCTTCATGCATGGCTGATTGTCATCGAAACGGAAGTCTTTTGTCGATTCTGAACTTTGTTATTTCTAGCTCATTTTTCCTGATTGAGGTGTCATACGAAAGGGCAGAAAATTAAATTTCTAGAAATGTGATTTTTCCTTTCGAAATTCAGATTCTGTCCGCCAAATGACTTTTTAGTACCCTTTCTTCAAATTAATTAAAATCACTCGTGAAACATGCATCATATGGATTGCATCAAATGGAAGAGGAGGATCTAAGCTCTACAAATATGTGTCATTTATTAATTATAATTGTGATTAAATTATGATAAAACATCGATAATTCTCAGTTTCGTTTTTTTTCTGGGAGGACAAGACACTATTATCAACAACGATTTTTTTCCCCAACCAATTTGCATGGACATGAATTAATATGCCAGAGGGACAGATCCAATTTTTTCCTGAAAAGCGAGTAGAAAAAAAGGGTCATCAGCTTTTATCTATCTCAGTTTTGACTCCAAGAAGTGGGAGGGGGTGCAACCATTGCTTCCCCTTCCCCTTTTTGACGGGCAAGACATTTTTATTAATAAAAATCATTTGATTTCTGAAGTTAGATAGAATACTCAAATTTGGTTTGAGTGATTTATATTTGGCACAGAAGATGACCAAAAATCGTGAGGTAAATGACAACGTGCCCCCCCCCTTTTAATTGGGGGGGGGGGGGTGTCCCTCATTACCCCATGATTATCGCCCTTGCCATTGTGTTTAAACGAGGGTTATTGGAGTTGCGGGTGTCGGGCCATTGATGAGGCAAAGGCGTCAGGGGAAGGGGCGGTACCGTTCTTTCTTGAATGAATTGTGCGAGATCTGGGCGTTCGAGAGGGGAGTGGGAGTAGAATTTATATTGCTTTCTCTCTAACGTTACAATTTCACTTTCGTTTCTTTTTCTCTCCTCTCTCTCTCTCTCTCTCTCTCTCTCTCTATCTCTCTCTCTCTCTTTCTCTCTCTCTCTCTTCCCCTCTTTTGATGGGGAGGGTTATTTTTTCTATTTTCGCCATTCGATTAGGAGGGAACGTGGCTCCTGTGGATAGGATGAGGGGTCGGAATGAAAATTGTTATAATTTGTTGATTTCTTGTAAAGCCCTCATATCCATCCAAGTGCCCAATGCGTGTGGCGACGTATTTTATGCTCTCAGTATTCAATGAATACACACTTTAATTCTGATTTGAGAAAAAAATTATTTTCATTGCAAATGAACACAATCATGATATAAAACACCAATGCATACTTACTTGTATGTATCATATTATTTACATTCGAACTGGATTCAGAAGAGTTTTGTCATTTCAATCCCGAAATTGCGCATATATAGGAATTATATTACGGTCAAATACGCATATTTTGATACCTTATTTGTGACACTGGCAGGTCACTAATTCGCGGGGGTGTAGCGGGCTGAGCCCCATGAATCTCAGGGTTTTTGAGGTATTTAATTACGGTTAGATGAGCATCCAGGGGCCCGCCTTAGGGCCCTTGGCGGGGTCCAGGGGTGGAGCCCCCGTAAGCTAAGGGGTTTTAGGCATTAAATTACAGTCAGATGAGCATATTTTGATACCTCATTTGTGAAACTGGCAGGTCATTCATTCTCTATTTCTTTCTTTTTCTCTTTAATATAATTTTTTTATAAACGTGAGGGGGGCTCGAGCCCCCGATACCCGCCGTTTTGCAGGCCCTGACATGAAGGTTTTTTAAAAAAGCATATTTTTTGCAAGACTGTAAATTTGTAATTTTCCAACAAACGCATAGGCCTACAAAAGTTTAATTTACAAAAAGAAATTGAGAAAAATTACAGGAAAATCATGTCATTTAAGCGACATTTGTAAATCACTGGTATCGAATTGGAATTTTATTTTGGGAGCGACCGCCCTCTACCCTCCACTTCTGGCGCCTTTGACCATCATCATCACCATCATAATTATTATAATTATTATCAGACAACCATTAATTGTGTATACTTTGATCTATTTGTGGACAATTTATCATAATTGCAAAAACTGATCAGATAGGTACATAATCGGATAACGTTTGGACGATACATTGACCCTTGTTTTTTCCCTTTTAATTCTGTGAGCGATTTGTGCAGATGGATGAGAGTAATACGTTCAAAAGTTATTTGCATTTGGATAGAAGACTTTTAATATAATTGAAACCCGACCCGATATTAGCGTGAAGGTGAAGCGTGTCAATTTTTGCAAAACAAGACAGTTTCGCTACCCAATGAATAATATCTCTTTGAAATCATTTCATTGTTGTGTAAAAATAATTTATTCATGCTATTTCGAGAGCACAGAGAATTTATTTTCGTAAAAGTTCAGTCACGAAATTTCGTGATTACAGACATACACTGTATATACATGTATTTTTGTATTACATTTCAATTCAATCTAATTCGTTGCATTATATGCATAGGTTCTTCTTCTTCTTGAAATCATTTCATTGTTGTGTAAAAATAATTTATTCATGCTATTTCGAGAGCACAGAGAATTTATTTTCGTAAAAGTTCAGTCACGAAATTTCGTGATTACAGACATACACTGTATATACATGTATTTTTGTATTACATTTCAATTCAATCTAATTCGTTGCATTATATGCATAGGTTCTTCTTCTTCTTCCAGTTAAGTACAGACCGCCGTTGGCGTATTATCGTACTAGGTTAATACATAAAATATAAACATACGAGTTTTATGAAATACATAGAATAGTTACAGTCTAATACAGAACGAACAAACTTGTTTTAAACGGTATCATAAGAAGAATCTGTTGTTTGCGATACACTGTATATACATGTATTTTTTTATTACATTTCAATTCAATCTAATTCGTTGCATTATATGCATAGGTTCTTCTTCTTCCAGTTAAGTACAGACCGCCGTTTGCGTATTATCGTACTAGGTTAATACATAAAATATAAACATACGAGTTTTATGAAATACATAGAATAGTTACAGTCTAATACAGAACGAACACACTTGTTTTAAACGGTATCTTAAGAATAATCTGTTGTTTGCGATCATGTATGTAATGAAAAAAGGTATTTGAAAAGTCGCACATCATCAACGTAATATTCCACGGCGATGGTTATTATTTTGTTACTCTATCTACTTCTATCGTGTTTTCATCTATCAGGATCTCCTCTAGATGAGGGGGGGGGGGGGGGTTACGAATTCCCCCATTACAAAAGTATGTCTGCGAATACTGCATTTGTATATGGTGTCAGCATATCGCGAAAATTAATGACCTCCGTTTTTCTTCTTTGAACACCTGATGGTAAATCTGACGACCATTTCTTAGCCCTGTTGGGAATTTAAGAATCTGATATTTTTTTATGTAGGCAAATTTCCTCAAACACTTGGAGAAAAGGCTTTTAAACAAACACATTTTGTTATATACAATACAATACAATACAATGAACATTTAGGGCGCCATTCCCATAAGGCTCAGAGCGCTAACATCAAATAATATTATTGGTCTTTACTACATGTAGTAATTAAAGGCTACAATTAGATATTCCATATAAAATATTAAATTCAATTGATTAAATTAAATAATTAAACATAGAGGAGAATTCATGTAAAGAGATGAGTTTTCAGAGCCTTCTTAAAAATATCGATAGAGGCAGATTGTCTGATGGACATGGGGAGATTATTCCACCCTTTGAATGCTGCTACCCCGATATTAGCGTGACCGGGTGAAGCGTGTCAAACTTTTCGCAAAACAGGACAGTTCCGCTACAAATTATTTCATATGAATAAAATCTCTTTAAAATTATTTCATTGTTGGTTACAAATATTTTATCCAAGCTAATTCGAGAGCACAGCAAAAAAAAATTGTCGTAAAAGTGCAGTCAAAATTTTGCAATTACAGAAATACATGTACATTATTTATATCTCTTTGGTATTTTTTTCACAGATCAATTTAATTCATTTTTTTTATTTCAATTCCAGCAAGTAGATTAAAACTTCATAGGTAAATATATGAAATATATACACGTACATAAACGAGTTAAAAGAAATATCTATCTACAGTTAGTATAACGCAATTGCTCAGTGGTAGAGCATTAGTCTCGAAACTGGAAGGATCCAGGGTTCGAAACCAAGTCAATGTGCTAGTTTATATATTTATTTATTTATTTATTTATTCAGTCTTCTTTAAAATACAGGGTAGTCCCTTCAGAGCCACAAGACCTGCTTTTCAAAGGAGCCATGTAGGCGAGTGACAAAACACATGGTAAAAATTACAACAACAACAAATAAAAACAAATACACAATACATAATAAATTACTCCTGTCCTTGAAACCTATTTGAGGATTCACTAGTTGGCAATCTCAGTCTCGAGAGCTGTCAGATTGTTACATCATCGGTCTTGCAGATTTTCTGCAAAGTCAAAGTGAAACAGAAGCAACAAGGAGTCAAATATGGATATTTGGAAGAAAATCACATTCCGTAGTTACTGACCGAAGATCTGACGCCTTGAGATATCAAAATTATATTTTTCGTCCATCGTGACACCTTGTTGTCATATCAGCCATCCAGGATAAACAAAAACAAATTGGGTAAAAGCCTCAACGTGGACATGGCGTGAAAATGGTACCTAAATGTACTGGGAGGATAACTCTATCAAGACATATCATTAAACCAATGAATAAATATTCATACTTCAAACAATACAACTTTTAAAAAGTAGGACATTTTTTCTGACTCACCCTGTATAACAAAGTGTAATCAAGGCTATATATAACAGATATTGACTGGTACTGTGTGCAATATACCATATTTTTTAGAGCAAGGGAGTAATATTTTCCCTCTTATCTTGGGAAAATATAACTCCCTTTGGCGGTGCTAAAAACGCTGTACTAAACACCCTACCAGTCAATATCTGCACAATATTTGAAACATTTCTAGATCGTCTCATCATAAGTCAAAGAAACAAAATCCAAAAGAAATGAAACCTTCAGGAATTTTGCAAACAATAACAAGGGTAATTATCCTGTAAGTGACATTTTATAAAGAAAAAAATAAACGTGGAACTTCCTTACCAGTCTTCTGAAGGCATCCACGAATCCTGCCAGTAAGTTCTTAAGTCCTAGAAAAAGAAAAAGAAAGAAAAAGGAATAATGGTGTTGATCAGTTCAAATTCTCTTTTTGTCCGAAAAGTGATCGGGTTCTGTGAACAAAATTTTGTAAGCTCCCTTTTCCAAAAATATCTATGTATATCGTTTATCTTTTTGTTGTATCTATTTGACATGAATTTTGGCAATGATCAATCCAAATCAAATCAAAAGCAAGTGAAAATGTTTTTTCAAATTTGATTCAGATCTGATGTATCCTGTGTATGCTAAAGGTATGCGGCCCCCTTTATTAACAATAGTTGTATACAATAATGAAATTTGCGTCCATAACGCATGTAATTTCCCCGATATACCCCCTCCCCCATCCCTGCCAATATTTGTAAGAAGCCCTCCGAATACAGAATCCCCAAAAAAATCAATAGATAAATAAGAATATAAATGAATGAATGAAATATTTTAATGATAACAATAATAATAATAAAAGCAATAATAATGAAATTGAATAAAATATACCGGTAATGAAATTAATGAAGAAAAAAAGAGGGGGAAAAGGGAAAACATGAATAAAGAATTTCCAAATCCAGAGGGCAACATTGTTTATCATGGTGCAATCTCACAAACAACATGAATATCTGATCATAATTATTCAATGTAAATAGCTTTTGAGAAAGGTAATAAAACGAATGTCCTTACGTTGCCGGTACTTGAAACCAAGACACGTAATGATGACGGAGATGATGATGGAGGTGATAATGGAGATGGGGAAGATAATCTTTAAAAAGACTGTATTATCTTCAGCAGGTTGCGGTGGTATCATCGTAGAAGCTTTAGAGGGAACACCTGGAGAAGAGGTGGAAAGTCCTACCCCTTGGTCTAAGGATAAATCATACAAAATTTTCATGAATTTATCGCTATTGTATTTTGAGAATGGTGAGGCTAATATATTGACATGTTTATAATAATATTTGATTAGTAGACATTATCAATACTGCTCAGGCATTTCCAAATCTTCGACGATATGATTTGTTAGATATTTAGGAACACCTCTTTGAGGTGGATTATTAGGAGTCGCTATTCAGAATACGAAATGAGGGTCGCTATTCATAATACGAGGAGAGGGTCGCTATTCATAATACAAAATGAGGGTCGTTTAAGATCCATAATACGAAATGAGCGTCGCTATAAAGAGTAAGGGGTTGCTATTCATAATACGAATTGAGGGTCGCTATTCATAATAGGAGTAGGGGGTCGCTATTCATAATACGAAATGAAGGTCGCTATTCATAAAAGGAGTAGGGGGTCGCTATTCATACGAAATGAAGGTCGATATTCATAATAAGAAATGAAGGTCGATATTCATAATAAGAGTAGGGGGTTGCTATTCATAATACGAATTGAGGGTCGCTATTCATAAAACGAGCAGAGGGTCGCTATTCATAATTATGAACTGAGGGTCGCTATTCATAGTATGAGCAGAGGGTTGCTATTCATAAAATGAGTAGAGGGTCGCTATTCATAATTCGAAATGATGGTCACTTTTCATAATAGGAGTAGGGGTCGCTATTCATAATACGATATGAGGGTCGCTATTCATAATTCACACCCCCCCCCCCCCCCCACACTAAGCGACTTTTCGGCCGGCGCGATTTTCGAATTTTTCGGGAGAAAAAAAAAAAAATTGGGCCCCCTTCCCTAAGAAATCCTGAATCTGCGCCTGTCTTCCTTTACCCACTTTCCTTCCTTCATTCATTTTTCCTCCCTTCTAAATATTCTTTTTCTACCTGCTTGTAACGCATTTATTCGCCGGGCCTATCCAAAACAAGCATTGCTTTAGTTTAGGCCCATCCACTATACATAGCCATATGATGAAACGTTTAAACATATTTATTATATTGTAATTGACTTGTAGGCTTACTATCATCGTGATTCGCTTACTATCATCATGATTATCGTGATTATACTGCAATATCTTTTGACAATTTTTTTTTGGGGGGGGCCGGTTAATTTACTAATAAAGGAATGTTTTTATATATTTAAAACAAACATAATTATGTTGACATAAAAAAATAACAAAGTTACTAATTTCACTTAATCAAGGTAATTATAAATATGATAGTAAAGTCAGGTTATAAATTAATGACTTATGAAAATGAAATGCACATACAAGCGTGTATCAAACTCTACTGAATAACGTAGCCAAGCCAAATGTGTGGTACTTTATTATACCTGTAACAGATAGCAGTACATGGCCACGTTCCTCAATGAAGAGAAGTGTCGCCACTTTACAGTGATAGATTCCACTGTCTGTCTTCTTGAGGTCCCTGATCGTTAAACGTGTAGCATTGCTGCTGCCCTCATATCTGGTATCGTTTGTCCATGAGGTATTACTCTGGACTTCGAGAGAGTAGATAGTGTGATCGTTCTTCTTCCAGTACACGAATATTCGTGTTTCGTTCGGGAAAGGGGGACACGGCAAGGTGACATATCCTCCAATGGGGACAGTTTTCTCTATAGAAGGAGAAAAATATCATTATGTAAATCTAAAGTAATTTCTATTGTACGCTATTATACATCGCAGACGTTTCCTCACGTTTACCACAGCGGTTTACTGCTTTTTTTCTTCATTTGTTTGTTTTAATATTTGTTGAGTTATTAATCTTGCTTAAGCTTTTTTGTATAGATTGTCTTTAACGCAACTATGAGCGATTATTTGATACCCCTTTGATGCGCGCAGCAAATTTCTTTTGTTCACCCCACTTGCCGTTCATTTGCGAACGAGCCTTTACTTGATGCAAGAGGGATGGCGATTTACTTTCGTGACCGGGGGAGGGGGACAAAATGCGAGGGACGAGGGGGCATAGTGATCGAGAGGGGCGAAGGTGCCGGAAGTGACTTCCCCCTCACAGGTTTTTTTAACATTCCTTAGCAGAAATATAGTTTAAAAAACAAGCAATATACCATTTTTACACTTCACTTTTACTTTGCCGGTAATTCGTGTGCAGTCCGAAGGGTTGTACAAATTTAGTAGGTAAAGTTCAGTGGGTAGGGAGCTTGGGCATGGGTGTAATTTCTATTTCCTACTCTAGGCCTCTGTCATGTACATGCATATTGATATCGATATGGAAGTTGACATGGTAAATATATAGCCTATGTGGTAGTAAACTATTAAAACCAACCATCTATTTCTATGACTCTTAAACATGCAGTGTAAACTGTGCTTACGTAATACCAACGGAATACAGATTTTCTACAATATTGACTGTCTCGTACATTTTTTAGGATATTATGCGAGGGAACGTTACGACCGAGCGAGAAGATTTTTGCATTGTTATCAGTCTTAATGCTACACTCTGGGGCCCTCATTAAGAAAGCCTAAAAGTATGTTGCAGTTTTCAGTCAGTATTTCCTATCCTTTTGGGGGAACTTTTTCACCTTTTCCGGGGGACGATCCCCCTAAAAAAAAAATGAGAGGGAGTGTCCCCCCATACCCCCTCCCCCCGGATCACCGCCCCTAGATGCAAGGCTCTATAAAATAAAGACTTAAAGGGGAACATACGCTACTATCTAGTCTAAGTCATCTATACAGGGCAAATATTGTGTTTTCTATTCACCATGTTCATGATTAAAATTGCATCGTGCAATTTGTATATTATCATTGAAATACCTACACAAACGAAGAACAAATTTATTCCCTATTCATTAAGAAATCCAGTGGTAATAACAGTTTGAAATTATGCTATAAACAGAAGGTGCCTTTAACTTATACACGCATTTCTATGAGAGTTGGTCGAAAGCATAGGGTCCAAAGAAAGAGAAGGGGTGATTCTCAAAACACTGTGATACAGAGGAAACAGGAGCAAGAGAGAGGCTCCTACAAGCCATGGTCATCTTGCAATCATGCTACAATTTTACATATATTTTGTAAAACATGCATTAAAAAAATCAACACACCTGGCTGAGCGGCCTGTCTTCTGATTGGCCCTCCCATCGTCAAAGCAACTGGGAACATACAAGTCATGCAGGTAATGCAGGTAATAATGCCGACTTTCATTGTGTAATTCCTGTAATATGTAGAAAAAAACATGATCATCATATAATACAGTAGCATAACAGGCAAAGTGGTTCTTGGCCGAAGATCTCGATTTTATCCTACCCCACGAGAGAATGTCATCAATTCATCTCTAATTTCATGAAGTCCACTAAATATTCACAACCCTCATGCACAATTTGCATTTTTGTTATTTATATTTTCGTCATCACTATTATCATCAGCATTATATTGTTATTACTAATATCATCATTATCATCATTTTATTATTGTTATTATTATTATTATTATTGGTAGTAGTAGTACTAGTAGGAGTAGTATTATCATAATAACTTGTTCACGACAAAAGCTTCTCGTCACTTTATCTCGTCAGAAAATCTCAGATGTGTCTCACTTGACACCACTCCACAGTAATAAAGGCCTTCTCTTTACGTCTTTTTGATAGTTCAAACTTAAACCTATAGTTTATACATTAAATTCAAACACTTTCTAGTAATCCCTGGATTACTATAAACATCCGTGTATCAACTCAAGAAAAGCATCCAATACAAGATAATCATGCATCAATGATAACTTTAAATCAAATATTTTCAATGTTTACTCATAGCTGTCAAACTTTTGTCTGAAAATCAAATTACCTACGGAAGTTAAATTATCAAGAACATAATTTTCGTTATAACTGCCTTTCGAAAAATAACTCCGAAAATAAACCAGTAACATGAAATCCAAAAACAAGAATTATTCTTCCAGAACAAGAATGGTCAGTGGCTGTATTTATTGCCTTTAATATTTTTTTATATTTTTTTTCTTCACATAAACATTAAACAATTTTTAAACACCTTCAAATGAACTGAACTGATGTGCATCAACATACAACTTACATCGAAATAACGTACATGTACATGTATTATGAACTTTCAAACGACAGAGAAATACTTAGCACTGTGCATAATACCATTTTCATACATGTAATACATGACTCTTTTAGGCCTACTTCCCCCTGAACATTATCTTCTTTTTTTTTTCTTCTATCAACTTGTCCGAAGTATAACATTCATGTTAATGTTCTAAATAAAACGTGACTTCCCCGTCCAAAGTTCACTCCACAGTTTGTTCACGTCATCGCATCTACTTTCACTGTACTTCCGCCATTTCCTGTTGTGAGACGATGATTGGCATATAATTATTTAACCCAAGGCAATTCGAGTTTCTCTCTTTCTGGTATGTTTTATATCAACAAAATATACTTGATAGGGGGTTACACATTAAGCAGTGTTCCGGATTTTGAGGGGTCTCCAAGGAAGGAAAAGCCCCCCAAAAGCCCGCAAAAGGGGGGTTCAGAAATGTTGGCAGTCCTGAGCTGAGATAGGGAGGGACACAACGGGCACAAGACAAGAGTGAACATGAGGAGGGAATCTGAAAATATTCAGTGTACCAAGGAGTTTTAAGAGCTGGAGACCCAACTGGCAACAAATTATTCCAAGCAGCTGCCGTTTTCTATGGTTGCACAATAGAATCTACTGGTAAGCTTTTACCTTTGATGTCCGAGGTTCCAAGCCGCCAATATCATTGGAAAGCTTGAGTAGTGATTATTGTCACAAAGAAATATCCTTAATATTTCACTTTTTATTTGAACTAACAAGGGGAAAATCTTACAGATGATAAAACATGAATACAAAAGCCTAATTGTTTCAAGAAATTTACTTACATTGTATGATAGCAGCTTTAATTTGTGAAAAATATTAAAAATGTACAGTCCTAAAACTTGCAATTTGACATTTTTCCGATTACTTGCGGCTCACGAAAATAAAAAGTGAATTTGTTCGTGTACAGTTCTTTATGATGTTATATGTCAGATTAGTGCCCACACATGCCCAGTCGAGCAATTTTGATTAATATTTCATGAAATTTTGCTCCGTATTATCAGAAGAGTAGTAGCGAAAAGTAATTGGCATTACAAAATCATATTTCCATTTGAAAGTGGCCACATAGTTTGCAGCTAGGCAGGAATATTTTGTCTACATATCTGCAAGGAAGGTCCAGTTAAAAGCACATGCCTGACATATTTTCTCCTGGCGGCACCGAAGATGGTACAAAGGGCATGAGCTAGATAGGACTCCATCTCTTAAAGGTAATACAAGGTTTTGGTATGGGGTCATGAATTTGGTTCAAATGAACATATTGGAAGCATATACGATCCTACAATATTCAGTGATCGTTGTCGCGGTCGAAATCGACTCTAAAGTTATTAAATTGTAAATAATAAACACTTTATGTTGAATAGCTCCCTCTCAGGGTCAAGATATTAATTAAGCTATAAAACAATGTTTATTGACTAAAATTGACTGATTAGCTATTCTCGTTCGGAAATTATATACCACAACTACATACTCTAAGATTTTCATGGTCGCAGCTACCATTGTACGGCCGTAGGAGCTATTTGAAATTTATAAACATTTACCGGGAGCACCGGTAAATCTTTATATTCAATTTTTCTCGAAAGCAGAAATGTTTTAGGGGCTAAAATTTCTGGTGTTTTTAATACATCCACAGGGGCATCCAAATATATTAAAATTGTAAAGAATCATTATCCACCCATTTTTCAAAATTTCCCAAAACTTTGTAATACCTTTAAAGCTTCTTGAATAAGCCAGTTCATAGATACAATCTGCGCATGGGCAGATAAAGGTCATTTGTACCAAAATGGTAAAACCCACAGAGATGAATACTGGATATGCGCTCATGAAAGTTATGTAACATTATTCATTTATGCACCAACGGTACATTCTATGATACGCAGGTGGAAGTATTCTTTTTAAGAGGACAAACAAAAGGTATTCATGAGGCACATCTAGGACTTTGGCAGTTATTATTCTAAGATGCTCAAAGTGGAACTTTTCCATGTGTAAAAGACCTGTGGATATTTGGGGTCATTTGTACCATGTGCTATCTGTAAACTCCCTTATTGGTTAGACACTTAATATCAAGAAAACACACAAGATGACAGCGACACTAGTCAACGGGAAACAAAAACTCGCATATAATCATTTTCACAACAAAAACACGGCAGTGATGATACATGAATCTCATAAACAGTATTGGGTAGTAAATACAAATATGTATAGGGTACACTTACATTACTTTTCTTCAACAAATTCACGACCGCTTGTATGGCAAGTTTGTGTACTGGAACTCGTACTTGATCGCGGAAGTGTTTTCAATGATTAAGATTCGATCATACATAATACACAGATGGTCATGCAACGGTTAGATCATAGACGTAATACGTAATATTGTATTAATCTATGGTTAGATTCGATCACTCAATCCAGAGTATGTTTACTGCACTGTTTGTTCACGCCATCGCAACTACTTTCACTGTAATAAATTGTAACTGTAACTTTCGCAATTTCCTTGTGTGAGACGATGATTGGATTAAATCTGGGGCAGGCGCGTACGCAGGATTTTTTCAAGGGGGGGGGGGGGGTTTAAAATTTATAAATCGGGCCGAAAATTTCGCAACGGCTCAGCCAGCCGCTGAATAAGCGGGGGGGGGGGGGGGTAAGAGGACACTTTTTTGTTTGGGTCCCAAAGAAATCGCAACGACTCAGCCGACCGCTGAATATGCGGGGGGGGGGGGGGGGGGGGGGGGGGGGGGGGGGTAAGAGGTAAGAGGACACTTTTTTTTTTTTTTTGGTCTCGAAATTTGAAAATTTGACATTTTGCTCCGTTGGGGGGGGGGGGGGGTAAGGTCACCTGTTTAGGTCAGCCATGGGGGTAATTTTTTTTTTTTTTTTTAATAATTAAAAAAAAAAAAAATCAAAAGGGGGGTGTTTTAGGGGGGTTTACACACATAAAAATACCAATGGGGGGGGGGTTAAAACCCCCACCCCCCCCCCCCCCCCCCTGTGTACGCGCCTGATCTGGGGAATACCCTTTGGTCCGGTTTGAACCAGAATATTCTCCCGGTTGTTCTTGTTGTTTTTCCTTTTTGTATAAGACAGGACACTTGATACCGGACTTGATAATTCTACCATGCTCGGCAGTCAATGCAAAAGGAATAACCTACTTCAAGGAGGCTGCCTACCCTCCATCAGAGTGATGTTGCCTCCTTTGGGCTCTCACATAGTATGTTTACTAGCTTGGTTTTTACTTGCACTGAACCTAGCATGTTCTACTGTAAATTGTCAAGTGCTTTAATAGTCCACACACCATTTATGCACGTCATGGCACTCCTTGCAGTTACTCGACTAACCTATACTCCCAGTATACATTGTAGCTTTCTGAATGAGATGTAGACTCAACCAGTGGCGTACGCAGGTTTTAACCAAAAATAAAGGGGGGGGGGTGGTAAAAAATACACACATAACAAAAACTCATGGGGGTTCACCCCCCCCCCCCCCCCCCCCCCTGCGTACGCGCCTGGACTCAACCATTTACAAGTACACTTTAAACTGAGAGTTAACCTTATTCAAGCTGTATCCCCAAATGCACTTACAGTTAAAGTTCATTATATAAATAAAAACAAACTTCATTGAAAACAAGAGAATTTATTTCTTGTTAAAGATACTATGTCCCTTCTGCAGTCAGCATCAAATTCTGTAGAAGTTTGTAGGAATTATGAGTATATCATGTATGTCCTATCTGTGAAATGATAATGCAAGCAAAGCCGTTTACTTGCTAGACTTCACTGTCAGACACAATTCAGTGGATGACTGGCCTTTTTTCTTCTTTGGTAATAGGGTAGGCCTACATGAGCATTTGTCTACATCAATAGCCCACTTCTTGTAATGACCAAAATTAAACTGATCGAATCTTTGCGCAGCATAAAACGGTGACACGACATTTGCTCCTGCGACAATTGCTCCGGGCTTTATTTCGTCTAAGATGTAGGGTTAGGGTTAGGGTTTCAATAGGGTTTTATGTTAGGTTTAGGGTTAGGTTTAGGGTAGGGTATAGTGTTGAATCCAGGGTTGAATTTAGCCATTCGATTAGTGTATGAAATTTACAGCGGAGCAATTGTCGCCGGAGCAAATGTCATGGAATCCATAAAACGTACGACCATTCGGTACAATGGTCTGAAAATCAGACTACGAGCTCTTAAGTCGATTTCACAACTAATAGTCGTTATTTTCCCACTTAAAGACATTTTCAAACCCCCCTTTTTTAGGGAATTTTTTTTTTGGCCTGCAAATGGGACATAGTACCTTTAAACTACCAAAGCATGTCATATCAAAATGGGGGAGATGGGATAAAAGATGTATTCACTGAATAACTGAAAATGTTCATCTGGTTGTTGATATATTAAACTGATTTTTTTTCTTCTTCTTCATAATCAGCGGAAAGCTGCCTTTTTTTCCTCAATTGCTGTGCCTGCAAGCTTCTTGAAAACTCTGTCGTAGCTGGCGCTGTTGCTGATGCAGCACGATGATGTGATAGAACGAAACTCTCAGAAAGTGACAAAGATATCAAATTGTATTTGCATACTAACATAATAGTAATTCAACGTACGATCTCATTCTACCTCGTCGAACTGCATCAACAACAGCGTCATCTACGGCAAGGGTCGGAAGAAGCTCGCTACACAGCATGACAGAGTAAGCTTACCAAAAATAGGTAATTTTCCACTGATTGTGAAGAAAGCATTAACTTTCTTTGTATTCACTCTTTACACATGCTCCTCCCCGGAATCAATTACCGAACCGGGATAAGATAGATAAATAGATACCCTCTAATTTATCTACAAGGCTGGATAAACATGTCCATCAGTATAACAAACAAAAAGAACTTGGTTTGATTTTTATTTTCCATGGCGGACACCCTCATTTGTATGGTACTAAATAATAGTCTATGTGGGATAACACAAACGATGGTTATAATAATATTATTTTTTTTGGTCCAATTTTTCAGGAAATATTTTGCGCCGACTCATTTAGCCAGTGAATAACCAAGGGGGGAGGGGTGGTGAGACCATTATTTTTTTTGTTTTCACCTAATTCGTGAGAATTTTTTTTTTAATTTGTTTTTTGTTGTTGACCCGTCAGCCCCCCCCCCCCCCGTGGATCCGCGCCTGCAGAGGATCCAGACGGTGTCAAGGTGGGGGGGGGGGGGTAGCCAAATCTTAATACAAAATGTAGTGCCGACTCAGCCGGCCGGCGAATAAGCGGGGGGGGGCGTTCGTTTTTTGTTTTATAAAGGTTAACTTTACGTTATTATCCTATTTTTTATCGTTTTGGGGGGCTAGGGGGGGGGGCCGGGCCGGAATAATCGCTACGTGGATCCGCTCCTGCCTCACCCCCCCTCCCCCTCCCAAAAAAAAAAGAACATTTGGTAAGGTATCAATGAGAGATCCAATCTTCCACATACAATCAGGGGCGTCGCTAGACCTTTTTCAGTGGGGGGGGGGGGGGTGTAGAGGCCAACGATTACCGACAAAACTAGCCACCAATTACCGACAAAATTAAATGTCCAATATCTAAAATTTAAACCCTATAAACCTGGGGCCGAAGGCTAAATTGTTTTTTATGGACTATGGACTATCTATAGTGCTTGCATATGCGCAAAATGATCATTTTCCTCGACGACATAAATATACGAATTATTTCTTCAATTTAGTCAGCATCATAGCTATATATTTTAATGCAGGCGCGGAGCTAGTATCTTATTTTAGGGAGGGGCGGTAGTGAGCAAGAGAATGACTTACATGCGCGCTCATTAGGGGAGTGTGGTTGATGGGCCTCCCGCGCGAAGCGCGGAAGCTTAGACGTTTCCTTAAATTATAGGAAAAGAAGACGATTTGCTGTACCGTTCTAGACTGTTTATCCTTTTCTAAATTCAGTTCCCCCCCTCCCGCGCAAAGCGCGGAAGCTTTGACGTTTCATTAAATTATGAGAAAAAGCAGACGATTCGGTGTACTGTTCTCGACTCTTAATCCTTATATGAATAAAGCGTCCCCCTCCCGCGCAAAGCGCGGAAGTTTTGACGTTTTATTAAATTATTAGAGAAGGAAGACAATTCGTCGTACCGTTTTCGACTCTTAATAAGCCCTATTCATCTGAATTCAGATTTCCCCTCTCGCGCGAAGCGCGAAAGCTTTGACGTTTCCTCATATCATTAGAGAAAGAACACCATTCGTCGTACCGTTTTCGACTCTTAATACGCCCTATTCATCTGAACTCAGATTTCCCCTCTCGCGTAAAGCGCGAAAGCTTTGACGTTTCCTCAAATTATTAGAGAAAGAACACGATTCGTTGTACCGTTATCGACTCTAAATAAGCCCTATTAATTTTTCTTAATTCAGTTTCCCACTCTCGCTTACTAAAAAGTTAAAACAAAAATGGGTCATGAACTTGTATCATGAAGTTTTTTACTCCAAGAAGGGGGAGGAGGTGCAACCATTTCACCTCTCCCTGTTTTTTACGGGCCAGACATTTTCATTAATAAAATCGATTGACTTTAAAGTTTAATAAGATACTCAAGTTTGGTTTGAGTGATTTATAGTTGGCAAACAAATGACCAGAAATCGTGGGGTTGATGAAAATATGCCCCCCCCCTTTTTTCAAATGGGGGGGGGGGGGGGGCGTGTCCCTCCTTAACCCTGGATTACCGCCATTGTCATTTTGTTTAAACAAGCCGGGTTATTGGAGTTGCGTGTTTCGGGCTATTGATGAGGCAAGGGCGTTAGAGGGTGGGGGCGTTACCGGTCTTACTTGTTGAATGACTTATTGTGAGAGAACTGGGAAATAGAGAGAAAATAGAGAGGCAGTGATGGTATCATTTTATATCGCTTTCTCTTTAACGTTACATCTTCACTTTCCTTTTCTCTCTCTCTCTCTCTCTCTCTCTCCCCTCCCCCTCTCTCTCTTTCTCTCTCTTCCCTCTTTTGATATGGAGGGTGTTTTTGTTTCTATTTTCGCCATTCGATTAGGAGGGAACGTGCCTCCTTGTGGATTGGATTAGGGGTCGGAATAAATTTTTTTATAATTTGTTGATTTCTTGTAAAGCACTCACATCCACCCAGGTGCCCAAAGCGTTGGCAACGTATTCGGTGCTCTCATTATTCAATGCATACACACTTAACAAACTGATTTGAAAAATAATTTCTTTGATTTATTTTACATTTTCATTGCAAATTAATACAATCATGATATAAAACACAAATGCATAATTAATTGTATGTATTATATTATTTACATTCGAATTGAATTCAAAAGGGTTTTGTCATTATAATCCCGAAAGTGCGATACGTGTATTTCTGGGGGGGGGGGGATTAAATGTACGAAATCTTCAGGCTAAAATATATATCAGGAGCATTATTATACAAATTGTTTTTATAATTTGTATATTGTTTCTC